AGAAGTTCAGTACAGAGCTTCTGAATTACAAAATATCATCAAGAGATTTTCAAATTAAAATTTGTTGAATTTAGTTGGCTTCATTATTTTGTTCTGCAAAGTGTGTTTCTTTTTTCCTGAAATATTTTATTTATGATATATTATAATCAGTTACATATTAAAATTGCACCCATTTAGGAAAAAGATAAATTTGACTTAATTAATTAAAATTGGTGCAGAAATTTATGTGACATTATTTAATTAATACAGGGCACATTTTTCAGTTCTCTTTTAAATGTTTGTGCTCCTTTGTAGTCCATGTCTTAGGTGGGTGCTTGCCTTGTTTATTTATTTATAATTTTAAAGATAATCATGAAAAATATGTCTAAAATTAATTGAAGATATGATACCAGTTTCAATTAAAGATATCCAGACTTGTGGACCTTGTTCTTGGTACTGTGTAGAAAAGTTAAAAACAACTTTAAGTCCATATATCTCACCTCGCTCAAGACAATTCTACGGCCAGTCATGGACACCCCAGGTCTGAGGACCGTGGAAATCTGCAGGATCATGTTTAAATATGGAACCGATTGGGTCACATGACAGAACACAAGAGAGAGTTCTGGCTTTATCGCCCTAAAATTTTACAGTGGCTGAACACCACAATGTTGGTGTAACAGTTTCACTACACCAGCAGAATTATTTGTGAAACTGTTGAAATTTACCTGTGTGAGAGCTTCATAGGGAAGGAGTTTATTAACTCTGTACAGCTGCAGATACCATCTTCTGATCCGTATTCTGAAGAAACAGCAAGCTCAACCTGTGATTCTGTTTCTTTGCCTTGTATCTCCCGCCTCACTGTGGTTAAACCTAGTTCTTTCTGGGGCCATCCAAGAATCAACCTTTATTCCACACATCCTTTTCTATTCTATGAGATGGATGACTGGGGTTCAATTCCCAGCGGCGGTAAAATACTTTCCTCTTAGCGTTCACATTAAGACTGGCTCTGGGGCCCACCTAGCCTCCTATCCGATGGATAACGAGCCCATCCCCTGGTGGTAAGGTCGCCAGAACATAAAACTAAACACTCATCTCCATCTAGTGTTGAGGTTGAGAAACTGGAGCCATACTTCCACTACTCCATAGATGTTCATGTTATGGTGCTTAACAGGTTCTGTCACTTTCAAATTGTTATTCCTCAGTAAGTCAAATGGAATAGTTCCAACCAAATGTCATAGTCAATTGGTTTCATTTTCAAATGGTCCCAGTTTTAAATCTTTATCCAGAACCCAGCTGTCATGTCACCTTTTTGTGGTTTCTTTGGTCCATCCAGGCAGTTGCCAGAATAGTACTTCAAATTAGTATGACTGCTTCTGTCCACACTCTTTGAAGTTCATTATTTACTACCTCTACCATTGAATGCTACTATAATCTGACCTATTGACAGTGTCATTAAATAAACTAAAGTAAATAAGAACTGTTTCCATTGCTGTGTAGCCACATATTGTATCAGCAAGGGCCATTGAACAATCATCTGCTGTGACGATGGGGAGTGTGTCTCCAAAATGTAAGCAGTAGCTTAGTTCTGCACAGTGCCATCACCCAGAAACAGGATCCACATTGCTGTAAAACCATCATGAAAGTCTGAAATATTCCAGATACAGGAATGTAAATTATTAATATTTTAGTATAATGCACATATTAAATTGTAAATATAACTCTAGTCTCTGAGTCAGAATGGTTCTTACCAAATTCTTCTTTGACTGACTAACTAACTAGATGGCTTAGGGAACCTCAAAGTTCTTCGCTGAATTAACCAAAGCCTTTCACAGGTCCCTGTGCTGGGCATTCCTCTGCGACAGAATGATGTACTGATATCTTAATAAAAGCGTCTCTGGCAGAAGCCCAGCATTATGGAGACCTTGCTTCCATGATGGAGGCTGGATGAGGTGTGGCTTGTTGCCCAAGAGGATTTTATCAAGTTCAGTCACAGTGAAAGCTTCTAACCATATATTGTATATCTTACTTGTGGAAGAAAAGCCCCTAAAGATATATAGGTTATGTAGTGTACTTGTAACTTTTAAGTTTTTGCTAGTGTAGTATATTGACAAGTGTGAACAACCAGAGCTGTAATTGTAGATCTCAGCCTATCAGAACATTGTTGTTAATTTTATCCTGCTTTGTGTTATGGAGGGAGCACTTTAAATTGCATTCTTACGATTTTAAGGATCAAAATGCACGTGTTTTATATATTTTCCCTTCTATTATGTTGAAATATTATAATGTGAAAGCCCAAAACCAAATTTCTGCAACAGTGACAAAGTGGTCTTTGTTATTTTTGTTTTTGTAGCAAAGCATGTAACATTTATTTAAAATCAGTCAGCTGTAAGAATGAGATTTCTTTACTAAAAAGAGTCAGTGTCCACTCATACCCATGCCATTTGTTAATTTATTTTATTCACTATCACAGGTATCAAACCATGGAAAATTGACCAAATTCCAAATACGTCATGACCTCAAATCTAATGACATAGTTTACTTAACATACTTCTCCTAATTCCCACATTTGTATGAGGTGTTACTAATTATAAAGTTACAAAGATGTTTGCACAAATATTTGAAGTTTAAATTTTGTGATCCTGATTTTGGACCATGAATATTTTGTCTTGGTACCTTACTGCGCTGATCTGAGTATGATATGGGGAAGCCCAAGATTAATTAATTTTCTGCAGTAAGTAACGTGATGATACATGAAGGATATTGAGAGGAAAGTGAACTTATAAGAGCAAGGATTCATAAAAGTCAAAGTCAAAGTAGTATCAGTGATAAACAATATTTTACTTCTTCCTCATTTGTCTTTATGTTTCATCTTTGTGATTGCCTATGGACTGGTCA